CACATTTTCTAGCTATGCTTGGACGATATTGTGGAGAGGAGCTTGGTGCCACTCCCTCCGCCTTCACCATCTTCCCTCCACCTCTACAGGGATTGTTCTCAGAAAGACTTTATGGAGATGAGATAGTAGGAATTTGGGTCTCATGGGATCACAGAATCCCAGATTTGGAAGTCATCTCAGCAGCCAGCTAGCCCAACTTATACACAGAAGGGATCCCCACTACATCGTACCTGGCCGTGGTCATCCAGAGGACCTCCAAGGAGAGTGAACCCACCATGTCATGAGGCAGCACATTCCACTTTGGGACAACCCTAACTGAGGACATTGTTCTTGACTTCTCACCTAAATCTGCCAGTTGGAGGCTTCCCCCCAGTTCTGCCCTCTGGGGTCAGACAGAACCAATCCAATCTTTACTCCACCCCACAGGTATCACGTCTCCCCTGAGTCTAGTCCTCTTTCCTGTGGCTAAACATGCCCAGTTCTTTTCCCTAAGCAGTGTATGTCCCGGACCTCACGCCCTTCACGAGGCCGGCTGTGCTCTGGACCCTTTGCAGCTTACCAACATCTCTCTTAAACAGCAGTACCAGAACACCAACAATACCCCGAATGAAGTCTGCTGAGGGCGGAGTATAGTGGCCCTACCAATGCCCTATCCCTGCCTGTCTTAATGCAGCCCAGGCTTGCGCTAGCTTTTTGGGTCAAAGCCACTAACTCCAGATCTTTTCCAGAACTGCTTTCTCTTAATGCCGCTCCTGTTTTATACTTGCAAATTCATTTGGGGGAGGGAGGGAATCACCCAGGTGTAAAACTTACCATTTATTCTTATTGAATTTTGTTGTATTAGATTCAGTCCAGAGTACCTGCCGTGATTCTTTCGGATGCTGACTCTGGTATCTATTATTCATCCCTTCCACCCTTGTGTCATCTTCAAGACTGATCGTCTATGCCTCTATACAAGCCAAAACAAGCTTCCTTCTTGCCCTTCAGTTTTGGCATCTGCATTTCTGTGTGTGCCCTGTCACATATCAGGCTGTCCTTGTAACCGGGCCACAAAGTGACTGAGTCTGAGAGGGTAGGTACACCTCTAAGAAGAGGAAGGAAAGCACTTCAAGTGGTTGCATAAGCACTTATTAAGCATCTACTGGGTGCCAGGAACCAGGGATTCAAAAGCAAAAATGACAAAAGTGAGTCCTTGCTCACTAGAAGCCTAAATTCTGAGGGGTGGAGACGCCTCTACACAGGTAGTAAATGCACAATATATATAGGGAAACATGCCCAGTTTGCAAATGGAGAACATGGAGAACGCTGAATTTGGAGGTGGCCCATCTGTTATAAAGCTCTTTCTCTGTTATTGCTAGAATTTTGAACAATCAATCAGCGGCAGCAGCAACAGTAATAGAGTTTGCAAAGCACATCATGTATGTTAACTCACTTGATTCTTACAAGCCTGTGAGTGGAGTGCTAGGTAATTCCCATTTTACAGAGAAGAAAACTGAGGCTCTGAGAGGTTGCGATTTGCTCAAGGTCAGCTAGTGTCTGAGGGAGGGGGTGAGCTAGGCCTGCCCTGATGCCAAATCCAGTCCTCTATGCCCAGAACCCAGAAATTGCCGCCACTTTCTACCAATCAGTGCACCCGTCCAAATGCTTCAGGAAAGTAGGTGTTTAACTGGGTTTGTCAGTAGTGGAAGGTTCCCGCTGGAATGCCAGTCACACTGATCTCTCTGCCAAGTGGAGCGGGGAGCAGACCTGATCTGGCCTCAGAGGTCAGGGCTCAGGTCCTGGCAGTGCTTCTCATGACCTCTGCACTCCACCCAAGTCTCTGTCACTGTGGGCCTCAGGTTCCTCACCTGTAAAAGAAGCTAGGGCTGCCTCCCTTTCAAAACCCCAGATTATACAAGCCCAAGCCACCGAGGGACTGCTGCATACCAAATATGATAGAAGTTTCAAGTGCTTACTTAGAGGCAAATAAACGAAGTTAAACAGAGTTAAGCAAACACCTGGCAGGCTGCTCAGGAGGCTCATATAAGGAAGTAAGATGCAAATTCTCACCACCCAGAGTGGGATTTCCTCCACCCTGGTGTCCCCCTCTCTGGCCCAACTTCACAGGCAGCCTTGGCCTCTGGGACTCAGCCACTGTGGCCTCAGGCATGTCAGAGCCAGAGTCCCTGGGATGAAAATCATGCTTGAGGAGTTTTCTTTGTCCTGGTGTTAGATTTTTCTGCCTGTAATTGTCTGTTTTTGACAACAGGGCTGGCAGGGCTCCTGGTCTGTGGGGGTGGGGTGGCAGAGAAACATAGCAGGGCAGAGGGAAGAGAGTTCTGGTTGTGGAAGAGTCAGATTCTGCCTCCTCTCTCTCTGCTAGCTGTGTGACCCTAGTCAAGTCACTTAACTTCCGAGCCTCAGTTTCCTCACCTGTAAAAAGTGGGAGATAATGGCACCTGCTTTCCAGGAGACTCAGATGAAATCCTGAATGTCAAGTCCCTCACCACCTACAGCAGCACTTCTTAAACTGTGAGTAGTGACCCCATATGGAGTGGTGTAACTGAATGTTGGGGTCCCAAAAAATCTGGCAACAATAAAAGGTTTCTTAATGCACAATGACCAAAAATTAATTCAAAATCAAACACATAATGAATTCAAGGTGTTTCTGGCAGTACTTGCCTGTGTTACATCTCCCAACTTCGCTATACCCTTGGTTCTGAACACGCAACATTCGCACTTTACAATGCATGCCATCACACCACAGAATGCCAATGAAGGTTGCCAGAAACACCTCATTCTAGACTATTGTATGTTATGAATGGCAGTGTTTTTACTGTACATACAAAATCATTAAATGAATTTTGGCTTGGGATTAGGACAGAATTCCAACAATTTTGGAAATGGCCCTAAACATGCTTCCGCATTTTGTACTATGTATTTAGGCAAAGTGATGTTCTCAGCATTGAAGATTATAAAATCAAAATATCAATCAGCTCTGAAAAAACATTGAAGATGCACTATGTCCTGCAGTATCAAATATTCCAAGATTTAATTCTTTATGTAAAAATAAACAAGCACAGCCATCTCAGAATGTAAATTTGCTCTCGTCTTTAATAAATGGTAAAATTACATGTATACCAAAGAATTGTTTTAAAATAAATTTCTTTATGATTTATTATCACCAAATGTTTGATTTGTATACCTATTTTATATACCCATATACCTGGGGTCAAGTAAAAACTTCTCGGGTAAAAAGGATCATGAGTAGAAAAAAGTTTAAGAAGCCTAACCTAGAGCACCAAGTAAAGGTGAACTGTTAACTTTACTAAGGACAGGTTGGGCAGTGGTCAAAGGGCCTGAGTAGGACTTTACAAACCAGCTCTGAGATAACTCAATGGCTATAGTGAAAGGCCAAGCAATAAAGCATTCACAGGAATAGCTTTTTTGGTGGAAAATGCGACCAAAAAAAAAGGTCCATTTAAAAGAGAGGGGGAACCCAGTTGAGGGTTGCTTGCCTGGGAGGTACCAAACTCCAGATAAGAATCCTTGATTGCCAGCCAAGCTCCTGGGGCCAGGCAGGGGGCCCTACACTCCCAGCGAGCTTGTGTATCCTCCCCAGGACACACAATGGCACACTCATAACCTTGAGAAGTCCACCTGCCAAAGATGCTCCAGAGAACATCTCAGTCAGCAGGGAGGGAAGCGCTAGGGGTTAGGTGGGGGAAGAGGGGGTGTTATGGAGAAAGAACAAGCATCAGGGAGGAATCTAGAGATGGTTGACACAATGACCCTCAATATTGCGAAGGAAAATTGCATTGAAAGACAACAGAACTCTGGTCAATTCAACCAGAGGTCCAAAGGTCAAAGCATGTTTCCCATTCTTCCCAAAGAAGAAAGCCTCTGAGAGGAGGCTAATTGAGTATCTACCCCTTCAGAAGTTGACAGCAACAATAACTATTATTATTATTATCACTATCAAGAGTCAGACCGCTCCAGTGGAAGCCTTACAATGTGAAGGGAAAGACAGAGAGCCTAGTGCCTCTGAGGAAGGCCTCCAGCAGATCAGGTGGACCCCTGCAGTGAATCTGTGGGAGGATGTGGACCAAGGGATGGATGAGTTGCAATCTGTATTTTGGAGGGCACTCCCAAATCAGGGGGATCCCAGAGACATTTGAGGGAGTACGTTAATGCTAGGACTCAAAGATGCACATTCATTGAAGGTCTTTCTCCAGCGGGCTCCTGCCTACCTCTGCAGCCTTCTTTCATATACTTCTCCCTCCCCTTTCCCAATCTCTAGTGCAGCCCAATCAACAGCTTACCCCCCTCCGCTACCCATCACTCACCTCAATTCCTTCCCACAAGGTGTCCCCCATGGTTGCATTGCATCTCCTTTATCCTCCTCTCAGAATCCTTGTCTCTGTCCAAGGTTCAGCTCAACCTCTTCCGAGAAGCTGTCCCTGCTCCCTCCCCTTCTCCCCTGCCTAGCTGGTTAACACTATTTCCTGCTCCCCCTCTCCTGTAAAACACTTACTTGTCCACGAAGTTTTAGTGGCCCCCAGAGAATGTAAGCTCCTTGAAGGCAGAGCTGTTGTATATCTTTGTGTCTCACATAGTGATGGTGTTTAAGGAATGATTGTTGACTTACTCTATGCCCAGAGATAACTTCTGCCAAACTAAAAGCCTCTATATCCAGGAGATGTGACCAAATGAGATAGCACAAATATATGAGCCAAAGCTTCTAGCTCATAAGCTAGCCAGTATGCGTCTGTGAATCAAAGCTGACCACCCCCACTGAAGGACACACACAAACTCAAGGATGAAGGGCAGGCCAGCAAGGTCATCTCCAATCCACGAGACTGAGAATTCACATTAACAAGCCAGAATTAGTTGTTTGAATCACCACCAAATGGGCAAAATCTTGTTCTAAGAAATCCACAGAAGGAAAAGCCAGTTCTGTGTGACCTAACCCATATATGAAGTCTTTCTTTCTTCAATTTCATTTAACACACACACACAAAAAAGGTTTTCCATATTTTATTTTTTTTTAAATAAATGAAATAGCTACAATTCTATTCAAATTGGAAATCATGACAATCACATCCCAATATGCTTGTGTCTGACAGCTTCCCCAGGATAATCATCAAGGACTTCTCAGGATGGATGGAGGCTGGCCAGTGTCAAGGTCACCAACTCTCATGCTTTCACCCCATGGGATAATTTAATTGCTTTGCTTTTTGTAAAAATAGAAGGATTCAAGCTGCTATTCATTGTGGTGAAAAGATAATGAGGACAGATGCACTCTGGATTAATCACTTGTCAATCAATGGAGGTGGGATGTGGGGAGGAGGATACCTATGAGCTCCCACCTCTCTTCTGACCCTACAGGTCCCAGGATAACTCACTGTTCCACTTTCCCAAACCACATTTCTACTTCTAATAACAATAATCTTGTCCTAAAGTAAGACAACAAAATTTGAATCAACACTTTAATTAATTGAATTTTACTCCACACAAAGTTTCTGTTAAGAAAAAAACATTGGGAATGGGGAGTGGAGTGAGGGGAGTCCCTTCCATGAACTCATCCAAACTAAAAGAATCAGTTGCAAATCAAATCCCCATCTTTCTCTGGTTCCCACCCCATATCTATAACCAGTGTGACCCAGGAGGCATAGACATGGTGGTCACAATGTGGATGATAACAAGAATGCCACTGAAATTGTCTCTGCATGTACAAAGGCTAAGAAAGGCATCGGGGCACTGGCTTCAAACTATGAGCATGGCCGAAGGAGGGAACAATTTAACTCAGAAGATAGTATTCCAAAGAGGCATGGCAAAGGACGTTACATGGGGAAAGATGGGCCCTGGGCTAACTACAAACAAAAAAAAAGAATTCTCCTTTCTATCTTGTCATTTTAAAAGGAAATTTCACTTAATTAAGGAAAAGGACAACTAGCTTAACTTATATGTAACAGGAAGAAAGAGGGAAGGGTCAGTTCAGGAGATCACCCTGGATCACCCATCAAAGGAAGGCACTCGGGTTTGCCCGAGGGTCTTTTTGGTTCCGGTATCGGTAGGTCAGCCAGACTCCCAAGATCTGCAGAAAACAAATGTATATGGGTTATTTCAGACAACATAAATAAAACCCCAGACTTTGGGCTGTGAAGATTAGAATCAGAAAATTAGCCTCCTTGAATCACTGGTACCAAAGGCAATGATTTCTTCTCTTAACTTGATTCAACAAAAGGAAAGAGAACTGAAGAATTCTAGAAAAAAAAAGCTGAATGCTCTCAGTGGCTGAAGAAGGCAGACAATCAAAGCTGAGAATATCAAGATCTTCTAAAAACTTGGCTAATGGGTGGTTAAAAGAAAACAACTGGAGAAACAAAGGCCACCCCACAAAAATGAACTTGCTGCTACAAAGACTAAAGAAAATACCTGCCTTTTGGGCAGAAAAAATCAATATAATGTTGAAAAAAGTCACTTTTTAGCTGTCTTGTAATTTCTTCCATGGCTTACCAAAGCCTGATTGAAAAATGAAACCCACATTAACCGGTATATGTTTTCAAATTACAAGAATTGGTGTGAAGGGTGTCACTAGAGAGATGTATGACTGAAAAAAGACAACCTCATCACAGAGCAAGAATGAACACTAACCAGAAAGGCCACTGGTCCACAGCAATGCCAAGGAACTGAAGGGAAGGTGCCAAGTACATCGAATGGACCTCACATGAAGGATTTATGGGAGGGCATGGACAAAAACTGCACAGGATGGGCAAGCAGGAATGGTTGCCACATTGGAGGGAGAAGACAGATGGATGAGATTGCAGGGACATCAAATTATGCTTTAAAATCAATAAAAATATTCCAACTTCTTGTGCTGATTTTAAAGATTCTTTCAGAGGAATCAAAAAGTTCAATTTACAATCTATGAGACTTGAAAGCAGGGATTGTATTTTGCCTTTCTTTGTCTTAGCAAAGTGCCAGGCACATAGAAGGCACTTAATAAATGCTTGTTGTCAAGTGACAATCCCAGAAGAAACTTACACACCAACAATTTAGGCATCCATGATTTCATCTGTGGTCACTCCTCCACCCACTCAGATAACATTTTCAAGGTGCAGTAGATGGTCCCAGAACGATGCTATTAGCAAAAATGCAACCCTGAGGTCACTGTGGGGCTGAGCCCTTGAGACTTAGCTAGGCTGGTCCTCACACAACATCACTAGGTCTATACTTGGAACTTTGGAACGGTCAGCTATCACACTCCATAGGAACCACCTCCAAAAAACTCCAGGGTCAAATCCATTCCCCAGTGATGGACTCAGAGAAGACCAGTGGGAATGAGGAAAGTGATTGAATGTAACTACAAAGACTGAAAGAAATAAATGCCTACTGAGGGACATTTTTCACCCTGGAACTATGTTTAACTGCACTTTGTATCTTCTGGGTTCTCTTCCGTAACTTCTGGGGAACTTTCCACTGTTTCCAGAAAATTGAGCTCCGTCACTGAACCTTCTCTACTTAACCACACGGAGTCTACTTGTTCTTGGATGGCCGGTAAGGATTGCAGATGCCTGCCCTTCTCTCCAAGCCTCATGGAGAGTGGAAGCACCAACATTGCAGGGACTGAGCCACTGGCTGAGAATGGCATCTGGATCCACTGCTGGCTTGCCAAGAGGCACCTGACCCTCCTGCAGGGCATCGGGAACAAAGATGGCAGACACCACCTTGACCAATGGAGCACAAAGCTCACATTGCCTAACAACCGAGAAGCTTGTTGAGAAGGAAAACCAGCATAAGAGAGACGACAACCCGACAGAGTTCTGCAGTTCACCGGGCTGCTCCTCGATTAATTGTTCAGGGAGAGATGCACATATGGGGAAACCAGGCACCTACATCAATGAACATCAAACATGAACATTCAAGGGAGATGACCATGCCATAGCTTGCAGGTGTTGGAGGGAATGGGCCAGCTGGTAATGTCTCCCCCCAAAAGATTACATCATATCTACATTGTATATTTTGGATACACATGTGTACATATTATTCCTAGAATGTATGCCCCCAGAGGACAAGGACTCTTATTTTTGTCTGTATTATTTTTATTTATTTTTGTTTATTTTGTATCCACAGAGCCTGCATTTAAGAAACGGTTGTTGATTGAATGAATGAACCACAAATCCTTGAAGCAATGAATTAATTTCCCTTGAAGCCATTTCACACCTATGGAATTTCCCAGGTGGGGGAGTGCTGTACTATGGGGTTGTCTAGAATGACTTACCTCTGTAAAACTAAAGAAGAGGCCGATTCCACCTACAAACTTCAACACCTCGCCAGCATATTCTTCTATGATTGGAGCACAGGGAGAACAGTGGTGGCTGTTTTTGAAGCAGCTCTGTAGAGAACAATACATATTTATGGGGGCCCCGTGTAATTTGGTACATCCTCTCTCTTTGGTGGCTGTGTGCTTTGCTCTGGGCCCTTGACCTCAACCTTGATCATTAAACTTAGGGCCCTGAAAGGGAGGGAACAACCCTTCCTGCAAAATGGCGCCCGTGCCATCCACTGCTTCGCTCCCTGCACTCAAATGTACTCAGAGCTCAGGGCTCAGCAAAAAGACTCCTTGGTGCCTCCTCAAACACCAGCAATATGTCTTTGATGCCCATTGTCTGCATGACCCTGGGCCAAGTCCCTTCCAATCCCTGATCTTTAGTTTTCTCATCTAAAAAATGAAAGTGTTCAACTAGGTGTTGACTAGATGACAGTCTTGTCCAGCACCAAATCTGTGACAAGAATCCCCTCTATAAGATCCCTGGCAAGAGGTCCTCCAGTCTTTGCTTAAAGACTTCTAGTGACAGTGAACTCCCTACTTCCCAAGAGCAGCTGATCTCTGCTGTTGGGCCAGTTGTTAAGACCTTTCCCTTTCCACCACTTCTCTCTCTGGCCCCAGAGGGTTCTATCCTCTGGGGCTAAGCAGGAAATAGCTGATCCCTCTTCTATGGCACAGCTCCCCAAATGAAGATGGTTCTCATGTGCCTACTAAGTCTTCTCTCCTTTTCCATTTCTCTCAAGTTTCTTAGTCTTATATAGCCTGGACTCCAGGGCCTTCATCTTCCTGACCACCACCCTCTGGATGCTCTCAAGCTCCCCAACATCCTTCCTAAAACATGGCAGGCAGCAAGGTGGCGCCGTGGTGCACAGAGCACCAGGTCTGGAGTCAGGAAGACCTGAGTTCAAATCCAACCTCAGACACTTACTAGCTGTGTGACCCTGGGCAAGTCACTTCACCCTGTCTGCCTCAGTTTCCTCATTTGTAAAATGAGAAGGAAATGGCAAACCACTCCAGGATCTTTGTCAAGAAAACCTCAAACGGGGTCAGGAAGAGTCAGACACGACTGAAATGTCTCAACAAGAACAACCACAAAAATGTGGTGATCGGAATAGAATACAATACTCTCAACCCAGTCTGACCAGGGAAGGAAGCAAAGGGATAATCTCACCTTCGTGATTCTGGCCTTCATGCCTCTTTTTACACAGTCTAAGATCACTGGCTTTTCTGTCTACCAAAGCATACTACTGCCTCAGATGAAGCTTGTGTTCTACTAAAAAACCCAGAGCTCATTCAGACAGACTTGCCAAGCTACGTCTCCCCATCCTGTACCTAAGAGGTTGATTTAAAAAAAAAAAAAACCTCAGTCTTTCCCTGAAGTTTACCTTTACTGTAGACATTTGCTAATTACCATAGACATTTACTAACACCTGCTGAGCAGAAGCACCAGGTCCCCGAAAATTTTGTTGGGCTCCCAAAGGCCCTAAGGTCCAGCCTTGGGGGGAGAAGAGAAAAGGTGCCAAATGCTTCCAACCCCCTCCCCAATAAAGGGGAAACTTCTAAAATTGGGAAGAGTATGATGGAGAGGAGCCCTCCCCAAAAACTGAATTCTGGAGGGATGCATACTGGCTGGTACAGTATAATGTATGATATAACCACAGAGTAGAACTAAACTCCAGTTTAGTAAAAACACATCTTCCACCATTCCCGCCATAATTCAGACACTAAAAGGGGACATATCATTGCCTTTCCAGAAGACACCACCACCACCACCGCCACCACTCTGAACTGTAGGTATTGGAATTCTGGTCCAAATCCAACAAGGTGGATTTGGTGCTGGCAGGGACCTTAGAGGTAACCTAATTTTACACATAAGGAAACTGAGGCCCTCAGAGAAATTAAATTACTTACCCAACGTCACACAGGTAGTAAATTTCAGAGCTGAAATTTGAATTCAGGACCTTTGATTTCAAGTCCAATACTTCCCATTGTACCATCCTGCCTCTAGTTTAATTAGGTCAGAGGAAGTCATGTTCCAGAGTCGCACAAATAGCAAGAACTGGCTGATGTTCAAACCCAAGTCCCTTTACTTCCAAAGCCAGAGCTCTTTCTACTCTTTAGTAGATGGGCAAGTCGTTAGGGGTGCCCAATCCCAAATATTTATTCCCTGGTGTGTCATTGGCTGTTAGGCACCTGAGAGTGGGCACAGGGGAGCCCCTAACTGTCACAAGAGCATGGGTAAGAGGTAAGTATCCCTTAAGGGAGGGATATGGAGCAGAGAACTTACAGCAAGGCAGGTGTCATTGGGGTTAAAGCTGTGGAACCCACAGCAGTTCAGACTTCTCTGAATATCATCCCGGGCACTGGCTGTGTTGTTCCATCCAACCTCCAGAAGCTGGCCCTAGAAAGCACATTGAATACCCATACATTAAAAGGGGAGTTACACAGGGAAGACACAGGAAGGAGCAAACTGGGAAAGGTCAGTGATCCAAGGAAGGAGGGAAGAAGAGAGACCAGGCACTGGAGACACCTGTGGGGCTTCCTTCCCTGTGGGCATTCCCATGCTAGTCATTCTTTCAAAGGGATTGGCAATGATTCCAGGACACCTTTGAAGAAGAAGACCAATGCTGGGCAGAGAGGGGAACAGCTTTCCCCCGTTCTCTCCACGCTTGTATCTGTGAGTGCTTATGAAGAAGACGGGAAGGTTCTTATTGTATAAATAACTCCCTCCGCCCAGGCCAATGGCTTCTGCAACTTTTGCACTTGAGAGTTTCCTGGGGAACTGAGACATTCAGGTCCCACAGTCATGCATCCCGTGTGTTAAAGGTGGGCCTTGAATCCAGACCTTCCTGATATGAAGGCCAGCTCTAGCCACTACACCACACTGCCTCTCCAAATAGTTAGCAGGGAGAGGGGTAGGACTGGACCTGAGACTTCTTTCCTATACAGAATCTCGAGGTCAAGAAGCCCCCTCCACTACTGAAGGCTGGCACTTTGTCTGCAGTTTGTGGTTGTAGAGATTTGCTTAGAGCACTAAGGGGTAAAATGACTTGAGAAGGGTCACACAGTCATTCTGGCATCCAAGGTGGGACGTGAACCAGGGCTTCCTCACTCCAAGTCTGCTTCTCTAGCCATGGAACCGGAATAGCTTTCTTCTTAAATGGAAAAATGGATGTTACTCTGAGGAATGTGCCTTTAACAAGGGGGTAACTTTCCTGTTCCAAAGAAAAAAATTCAAAAAGCCTTCAATCCTCCCACTAACAAGCAAGTACCATAAAAACAAGGACACCACAAATGTTCTTAACCAATGCCGTGTGGCATCTTGGTGGAGAAAAAGCAAGGGGGCACGTTGAGGAAGGCCCTGAAAGATGCCACCTTTTGGGAGTGGGGTGGGGGTGGGAGCTGGTTAGGGCTGTCAAAACAGTCCCTGACTTCTCTTACCTTTCTTGAAGCTCACACCCTGGTGTATAAGAAAGAGAGGGCGGAGGTATCTCCTTACCTGCTGCTCCTGGTTCAGGGCTAAGCAAGCACAGGATACAGAAAACTGGATGATGAAGACCAGTAAGAGAATGATCATGTACTGGGAGACGAGTGAAGGAAGCTTCTGAGCAGCCTTTGTGAACAAAGACAAACCCTGGCCAAGGTGCTGGCCCCTCGAGGCAGAGACGCAGCCGAGTGCACAACCCTTTGGGATTACATTTCTAGAACAAGACACACAGTGCAGGGATGCCTGCCCTACGTGGTAGACACTGATTTATTAGAAGAATCAAATGGGGCCCTCTAATGCAGTTCCATTATAGGAAACATTGAGAATTTTTAACCATATAATATATGAACTATATCATAACATATCTACAACTCTAACCTACACACGCGTGCATGCACACGCATACACACACACACTCATACATGCACACACTATATTTGGCTGTGCTGATACTCAGGAAGAAGGACTGAATGTGTGATTTCATTGGTATGGGGAATTCCCAAATGAGTGAGAAAGCTTCCACCTACCAAGGCATCCTGGCACCTTATGGGTTTGAGAGGTGCCTGAGAGGTAACGTCACTTGTCTGGGATCTCATGACTGGTATGTGTCTGAGGCAGATCTTGCACCCAGGCCTTTGTGACTTGGAGGCTGGCTTGGCTGCCACTCACATTGGGCATCTGCAACCCTAAATACTTACCAGTACTCATGAGGTAGCCCAAGTCAAAGGGCAGTTCTCCACTCAGCTGAGAAAGTGGCTAGTGATGTTCCCAGAGTCACGTGCCTGTGGGCACCAGGTGCAGGACTTCAGCCTGGCCTTCCTGGCTTCAAGGCTGTCATGCTCGGCCCACTAGGCCACACTGGCTCTTGCCAATATTCAAATCTTAGAGAAGTCCATTCAATTCAGCAGACGTTCATTAAGCTCACTAGTATGAGATGAGATATAGAAAAGACAAAGACAAAACTGTTCCTGCCCTCAAGGAGCTTAGATTCCCCTGGGGGAAAACCAGCAATGTACCCAGGGGAATGAACATGAAATAACACCAATGAGTCATTTGAAGAAGGAGGCAGGGCTAGCAGGAGGGGCTCAGGAAAGCCCAGCCACATTGTGCTCTGGAGGAAGCTGGGAGGAGTCAGAGAAGGTCAAGGGGTACCAGCCATTGAAACTTCCAAACCATGCCGTACCTGAAGCAGCCTTCAATTTCTCCTGAACCAAGGCCAAAAATTCGAGGTTTGCTTGCGTTCCAGCGTAAGTAGGTAAAGGGGGAAGGGGGTCATCAGTGCAGTCCTGGGTGAGTTTCCACACCCTTGCCTTCCCAGCAATGAGCCAGTAGCCTAGATGGAAGAGCCTATGGGCATTCAGACCCATGTTTCAACCTGGGGCTTACATGATAGCCAATGTCTTATTTCCATTCTCCATGTTTGGGAGGAATGGGATGAAACTATTTGTAGACCTTCTCAGTTGTGCACGCAGGATGACAAAGCATGCATATTATACACCTTTCCGTAGCTATTGTAGCTATGTGGTCGTAAAATTCAGTATCTGGACTTTGAGAAAGGAAATCCCAAGGACACCACAATGCAAAATCAAAAAGGACTCATACTAGGTGTAAATGTGTATTATTAGACTAGATAAATCTAAAGTCCCTTCTGGTTCTAAACCTTTGATCCCATGTTCTGATGCCCAAGGACCAGCCTGCCCCAGTTCAGGGAGGCTCATTGGCCTCCGTGTGATACATCAAACTCTTTAAGACTATCAACCAAATTAATAACTGTCCCAGTCTCTGGTGGCAAAGAAGGTTTACACAAGGGGGTGGGAGCAACAGATTTTCTTTTGTCACCATGCTTGCTTATGCTAAAGTTGACATTTTTTTGAATTTCAATTAGATACCTCCTAATATCAAGGGCAAGAGGTCCAAGAGAATGTTGGCTGATGGAGGAAAGGAAGCTTAAGTTTAAAATAAACTGTAAAGTAGGTAATCCCTGCAGGGATGAAACATAGTCAATTTTTTTTTCTGCAATCAGCTTTATTAAAATAAACTAACTTTCCTTGCAGACTTTTCCCTAAATCATCCACCATGACACTGTAATGGTGGTTGGGCAAAATATGAACTTTCCAAGTAGAATGGAAGCCCCTTGTGAGCAGGTACTATTCCTTTTTTTCTTTGTATCCCCAACACGGAGCATGCTGCCCAGCACATAGTAAGTCCTTAATAAATCTTTATTCTATTGAATTGACACGAGCAGGCTATGAAAACAAGTATATAGGGAGTGCCCTAGAAATATCTTCAGTGAACACTCTAGAGCATTAGAGAGGTGCTCAGCCTATCACTAAGTGTATTCTGGGTTCCTAGTCTCTCCATTGTGTCAAACTGTTAATGGCAGGATCCCCAGATGGGAACTTCTTAACTGAAAACCAAATGGAGACTGAATTCTTTGCAGACTCCATCCCCTTCCTTGCCTTCTCTGATACCTACAGCAATCACTGTGTCCTCGTGGCTGACTCAGGAGCAGGACGCAACCCGCACCTAGGAAACGAGCAAGCCATCTGGCACAAAGCTCTTGTCCTCTGAGTGAAGCGTTGGCCAATTCCCATTTTTCACATCTACCTCACCGGACAACGCCCATGAGCAAACGTCGACCAAGTCGCACCGTCTTATGGGCAGCTTGGGTCAGATCCAGAAAGAGAGAAGAAAAGGACTCTGAGACGTTGCTTCAGTGTAATAATCAACAAGTGCAAATTAAGTGCTGACTCTATGCCAGGCACTATACTAGGCACTGCAGCCACAAAGACAAACGCCATAGTTCCTGCCCTCAAGAAGCTTCCTCTCTACTCAATTTTAGTACTTTAAGGATCTGTCATTTTGTCAGCGTGTAAACTCTCTTTGCCACTAGAGACTGGGACACTTATTTAATTTAGTTGATAGCCTTCAAGAGTTTGTCGTAGACCAAAAATGTATGACACGGAGGCCAATGAGCTTCCCTGAACTGAGGCAGGCTGGTCCTTGGGCATCAGAACATGGGATCAAAGGTTTAGAACCAGAAGGGACCTTAGATTTACCTAGTCTAAGTCCCTATTTTGATGGATGAGGAACAGGCCTACAGAGATGAAATGATTTACTAAATGTCTGCTGAACTGATTTAGATGGAATTGCTCAGTCACAGAGAGTGTGAGGGACCAACCTGAGCTCTCCGGCTCTAAATCCATCATTCTTTCCATGGAACCAGAATGCCTCTGAACAAACAATCATCCACTGAGCCCATAAGGAAAGTCTTTCCTTGAGGTTGGTCAGACCTCACAGAGCCTTCCAGAGTCCCGGGCAGCTCCCCAGGCCATGATGAAGCACTGCAGGAAGGCATCAGTGCATGTACTCTTACATATACTTGATCTTCACCAGTTACTGACTTTTAAGACTTGAATAATAATTTTAGAAAAATGATTTCTGCTACGAGAGGCAGAGTGGCTGCTGAGAGGCAGGAAGATCTGGTTTCAATTCCTGCCTTTGATAGCTACTTGCTGAGTGATTATGGGGAAGTCTCATGCCCCCTCAGTGTCCTCAGGTCACTGACTGCAGCATCCATAGACAGATTTCCCATCCCAGGATTTCCCCACACCAATGAAATCACAGATCTAGAACAAAATAATTTAAGAATTCCGTTAATAGTTAACAGTAAGTGTGGGACATAAACAAGATGGAAAAGCAAGAAACAAAACAACCCCACCCACCCAAAACAAACGAAAAACCAAAGTCTCTCAGTGTCCCCAAAGGATACAAAGAACAACAGCACCTGGTGATGCTTCACAGCTCCGATCAGCCCCACCAACGCAATTAGGAAGAGGAAGATGCCAACGGCGATGACCACACCCATAACCCGGAGGCTGGAGATGAGGCCAAAACCAATTCCCCAGGCAGCAATTCCAATCAGCAACAGGCTTACCAACTGCCACAAAAAGAAAGGGATAGGAAGAAGAAATGACATCTATTTTAGAAGACAAATCAAACAGCACTTGCTTTATGCCAGAAAAGTGCTAAATACAAAGACAAAAGTGAAACTAGCCTTGCCCTCCAGGAACTTACATTCTACAGCATTCTAGAAGAGCACTATTGTTGTATATAGTTAATATCTGGCAAAATCTGTCTCTTCCTAAGTACTGAGGCATACAAGGTCATGACAGGATCAAAGAACAGGGGCTAAAAAGGACCTCAGAGATCATCCAATCCTTTTAATTTATAGACAAGGAGACTAAGGCCAGTAGCGAATAAGTGACTTGCCCAATGTCACACAATAAGGGTGACATCTGGAGTCAGAGGACCTGCGTTCTAATCTCAGCTCCACCACTTCATGTCTAAGTCATTTATCTTAGCTGGGCCTCAGTTTCCTCATCTGTAAGATGATAAGGTTGGATTTGATGACCTCTACAGACCCTTCCAGCCCTGAACAGCAGAACTATGATCCAAACCCAGGCTTTGGTGTCCTACTAACCCAAGGCTTCTCTGAACTATACCACATTCAGAACTCACCAGCAGAAGAGAGTTTTGCTCTGGTCAAAGACGGCATATCCTAAGTTACTCAGATTTTTAAAATGACAAGAGAAAAAAAATATAAAGATGCTCTTTGCATTTAATGCATGTTAATTATGTTCCCACCAGTTATGTTTCTGAGTTGAGGAATCCATTACTAGCTATTGATGTGAAGTCAGCTTGACTCAAAGAGCTCTCTGCATAAGACCATCACTTACCATTTTCACAATCATCTCATCTAGCCACAGTACGTATCAGCATCACTGAGGCTGAGCAGGGAGAGTGGGAAATGAGATTTGGAGACCTACAAATACATACCCAGTGGCTAGAATACTCTAAGTCATTCAGCGTTAGGCTCTGGAAACTCACGAATGACTTTGGAGAATGTGAGCAGGTTAAGATGATGATGGAAGGCCAGAGTTTGATAGACACAGGAAGGCTTTTAAGTAGGGTGTTTTCTGAAAACTCCTGCTGACAAGAGTCTAGAGAAGACGTATTTCCAGAAGTATCCAGTACAGCAAGCACTTGGTAAGTGTCTAAGACTTAGCAGGCACCAGGAGAACGTGCTGGGGACACAAAGCAGCCCCTGTCCTCAGGGAGTGTGCATTCTACACTGGGATGCCACATGAACACAGAGCAGGAACAGAGAGCATGTTCACACAGTAAACACAAAGTGATCTCAGGGTTAGGAAGAGCATGACCAAGCAGGAGGTTTAGAGAAGAGCTCCTGTAGAAGGCAGTAGCATCTGAAAGAAACCATTTTAAGTGCATGCACATGAACATATAAATATATACACACATACATGCATGTGTATATGCATACATACATGTATGTATACATGGGTGTGTGTGTGCACATGTGTGCATACATGAGGCAAGGGAACAATTGGGTTTTGTCTTATTGGGGGGAACAAAAACTCAGGAAAAATTTAAATTGAGGCTTTTTTAGGCATATTGTTTATACTCATTTTATATCATTGCCACTTTTGGTTTAGGAACAGAAAACCATTCTATATATAATGTGGTTTGTTTCTGAAATTCTCCCCCTTGCTGGATTACATTCTAAGCCGGCTTATTTAGACAATAATTATCATTTAGCTAACTAGATTTCCGTCTGCAGCAGAAAGGTTATGAGCTGCATGGTGGGGGGACCCGCCCACACAACCACGGTCCCAGCTCTCTTAAATACTGAAGAAGCAAGTTGACTATTTTTGAATGTTTACTACCATGAGAGCTACAGGTGGCCAGGCTTTGTGGCATCCTGCCTGAGCATATCAGAATCTCAAGGTTTTCAGGTTTCTCTCCATTTCTCACCAACAGCAAAGAAAGAAACTGTCAACATCAGGGTCAAAGGAAGCAGGGACTAAGCTCTGGTCTTCCTAACCTCCAGGCATGTGAAGGAAACCATCGGAAGCAATCTTTTTCAGGAAAAGGAACAGAGACTTCTTTAAAGCTCGCTGAGACACAGAGACTTGTGCCCGAGCACCTCTTTTCTGAGCCTCTAGGCAGTGCTCCTGGGGATGCTTCTCCTTTCTTGTCTCCAAGGGCTTGGGAAAAAAAAAATGCCAACTGCTCCCCAGCCAGCTGTCTCCACATTCCTCCACTGGCTTCTAAGGAATCTCGGGTGAATGATCCCGATAGAACCATTTCTTGGCTGGGTCATAGATAATGGAAGAGCTTGGAGGCACCAGTGCATAAGGTAGGATTCAGAAGCCATGTGTCGGGAAGCTTGCATGGGAATGCCATGTCATAGTGGTTATGGGTGGTAGTCGATGAAATGGCAGCCTTTAACCTTAGTCCAACATGCTGATAATGGTCCACATTGAAGCATTTTCTCTTTCTTTTTTTTTGAGGGGGTGTATTTTCAACAATGAGTCCTCAGGAGACTGCTGGTCTTAAAACCCAGGCCAAACCACTGCAGGCTTATCATCACTGACATTTTTGCCTTTGAATTTGATCCAAGAGATGCACAGCAGGAATCTTATAGATACTAATAGGATCTGATCCCCCAGGTTTGCATAAAACTCCTATGACACAGTTTTTAGAAACCATTGTTGTGGGTCAAGAAACTGGAAACATTATATGACCACCTTCTTGTGAGTAATGTATTCATATATATTTGTTACCATATCAATGTGGGTGCTCCCTCCCACAGATGGTAACAGGGTGTACTCTGAACGGGATGGGCTGAAACTGCCAGTCCTGTGCATGGCCTCTTATCTGTGTCCTTCCAAAAGATTGCCAGGGGTGGGTTTTGCACTGAGGGATCTTCCTCATGTTTCCCTGAAACCACAAGGCTCCAAGTGCCCCAATCTGTCCAACAGTGACCCCTCACTTGCCACATGACCAGTTGTCCATATTATTTTTCACTCATCCATTTCTCTAATGACGTTGTTTTACTCTGGTTTTCTTTTATAATTCCTTACTGTACCCTTCTCATATCTACCGTGACCCTCTTCACTTCCCTTTGGGGGGATGATCATCTTCAATTGTTCCAGGACTAGAGTGTTCCATGATTCACAATCACATATACCTTCTTATAATTAAACAACTGAAGCCAAATTTCATAATCTAAAATAGTTTAATTTTGCAAAATGTGGGCCCAGGGGAAGTTCCCCACCAAAAATTTTTCCTGTTGAGATAGTTCTATAAAAGGTTATTTTGGGAGAAGAAGGAAATAACCAAAGTTTCCCCTGGGACGCTATCAGCATTTTCTTGGGATCGAAAAGAAAGAACTCGTCAGTCTGGGGATGTACGCTCCCTAGAACTGGCCTTAAGCTTTTGCGGCATGTTTTCTGAGTGGGTGCTGAGACCAAGACCAAATTCCAGCTACCACCATTTATCTGAAGTGGCTTATACATTTTCCTGCTAGGAGGAAGAGGGACGGAAGAGACCATCAGCCTAGAAGTCGTTGGCATAAAAAGCATAAATCAACTCACTTCTTTAAATTCATTTGTAAAAATGTGAAAAAAAAAAAAAGAGCCTTCCCAACTTCCCTGTCTGTCAATGCCATCTGTGCTCGGTAAATTGTTAAGTCTCGTGATCTCTTTCTTATGAAAACTCTCCCATCTGTTACTTCCTCTTCATTTTTGCTAAGGCTACAAGATGGGGCCTTGTCATTCATTACACACTGTTAAGTACAAGAACCCCCTCACCGGTCTCCCTAATTCCAGATCTCCCTAACAACACCCATTCACACAGAGAGGTACCCCAATGAGTTTGGGTCCTCATTTGTTTTTCATTTGTTTTGGTTTGTTTTGCCTGATTGTTTGATGAGGTTCCATAAAGGAGAAACCTAGAGTGGCCAGCAAGCAAGACCTGGGGCTACCACAAAGAGTCCTCCTAAAATGACTGAAGCGCCATGTCCACCCTCTGCTTCCTATAGACCTGAATCGAAACTTCACCACCTGCTACAGAATGTTCTCTATCACTCCATCCCACATTACCGAGTAGAATAACATCCTGCCTTCCCAAACTACCTACCCCCCACTCAATCTCTCCCCCCTTTAAAGCTTACCCTCCATGCTAATCAGACACGTCTCCTCACTGCTGCACAAACGAGCCATGATCATCCCCACCTTCACATACTGCATGGAAGCCTTGACCCCTGCAAGGAATCCCCTTGGGCAATCCAGCTGAAATCTACCCAGCTTCCCTGACTGCTCGAGCCATCAGTCATCATATTACACCTTTTCTCTGAAGCAAGACCCCAACTCTGACCTAGGCCACCCAGGTCACACTGTCTGACTTCTCCTGTAATATTGTTTTACTGTTCCTAGCTCTTTCAGAGGTATCAATCTTACATCCACAACTGGGTCGAAAGCTTCTTCAGAGTAAGAAAAACTTTGACGTCTATAACTCTGTAGAGCATCTAGTACAGACAGGGGTGCTTGGGAGGTGTGGGAGACACTCTATAAGTGTATTTTTACTACACTATTTGTTGTTGGCCTGTCATTCAGTCATGATCTTAGTGACCCGTGGACCATAGCATGCCAATACTGCCCATAGGGTTTTCTTGGCAGAGATATTGGAGTGGTTTGCCATTTTCTTCTCTAGGAAATTAAGGCAAACAGAGGTTAGGTAACTTGCCTAGGTTCACGCAACTACTATGTTTCTGGGGCCACATTTGAACTCAAGTCTTACTACACTAAATATTGAGGTACTGCCAGCATAGGAATTCCCTTCATATGGTGACTTGTCTATGAACTGTAGGAAAATCCTGGCTACCTGTTCAAGGTACTGAACGGGTAAGTAGTTTGCACAGGGTCAGTAAATGTTAGAGATGGGATTCAAACCTAGTTCTTAATGACTCTAGCCACTACCCTCAGCTTGCCACATTTTAAATCTGAGATCAATAAAATTCAAAGAAACAATAGAATAAAGATTTCTGTTAACCAATTTATCAATGACTTGAATAAA